AAAAATGTGAGGGGTGTACTCACTTCTGTGAGATACTGTATATATTACTGAGAATGATTTTTGTAACTTTTCAAAGCTCTATGATCATCACAAAAGTGTCAAGTCTAAGTTGCTTAGGGCTCATGTAGATAATCAATACCTTCCAGCTTTTGCCTTGAGTTTCAAAGCACACATCGAAAGCAGGTCAACAGATTCCCATTTGCTTTATTGGTGCACTGTGGATAAAAATTCTGCATTTGACCTTTTTTAAGATGTGTTACTTTTGAGAAAGCAAGTTGCATTAAAATGCATTTGCATTGCAAGCAAAGTGAGGGAAACTTGGCCTTTTTCTAAATTTTGCGTTCAAATGCATGCTGAGCAGAGCTTTGCTCAAACGCAAGTGTTTCACAACATGAGCTTATTGTGCTCTTTGAAAAACCTGTGACACCATGTCACGGTGGAAAAAGGCAATAAGAGTGTAGTTTAACAGGTGAGACTGGATCACAGGATCATGAAAGGTACAAGTGTCAATTAGGATTTTCACCCAAATAGAGTGAGGCATTCCAGGAAATGCATACTGGTTTTCTATGGCTTTGGTAACTCCTGGTTTGGGTGCTGGAGCTTTGGGGCTTCATAGAGACTTAGGAGGGATAAAGTCTCCAACCCTAATTGAAGGTTTTGTGAGCAATCAGCTCCAACTGTATATATATGTGCACATTTTTTTTTACTTTGGGATTATCTGTGGTTCTCCGGCTCAGGAGTCTGTGTGGCTGCTGGAGAGCAACCAGAGCTGCATGTGTGCACAGGAAAGTTTGAGTATTGTGTAGAGCAACAGACAGGGGCCTAAGCCTATGGCCCTGAGAAGCAACACTGCTAGAGCAAGCCAGGTTGCTGAGTTTCAGTTTTGAAGAAAGCTGGAAACCCCTGCCTGTGGAATCCTTTTGGGTTTTTTTTTAAGTTTCTTTTCTATGGTCCTTGGAAGTACTACCTTCCCAAAAACCAGAGCAGCTTATCCATTTCACCGAACACTGCAATGACTGAATGCTGAAATCAGTAAATATGAAAATCTACAATAAACCATCCCTCTTGCAGTTGGTGTAACCACTAAAAGTACAAAAAGAAAAAAAGCAGTGTTAAGTCAGAGCTAATGCATCTTCCTTACTCATGTATAGTTCGGTGACTTCAAACATATAGCCCATGGGGTACTTTTCTGTTAGAAAGCCTAGCACGCTAAGATTCATGGAAACGCTCTGTTTTAAATGTTTGTGACATAATGCTTTACTATTTTATAATTAATTAAATGTATAAAAAATATACATTTAAACTTGCAAAGTAAAAAAAAAATCCTGTAATGGAGAAATGGACAGAAGTTTTCCAGGACTAAACAAGGCTAGGCTAACAATAACATAACAATATCTACTTCAGCAACTGATTTTATCTGAAACAGTGGCCATGCAGTAGTACTAAGATGTCCATTGTATTCTCTGGTATGACTAATATTATTCTGTTGTCTTATTCTATTAGTGGTGTCATGTGGCTGGCTAGGGCCACCAGAAAATGGTTCTAAGAATGGAACTACCTACTTAGTTGGCTTTACCATCACATTCAGTTGTAACAGTGGTTTTGTACTGTCTGGGTCCCAACAGCGAACATGTCAGTCTGATGGAACATGGTCTGGAGCAATAACTCAGTGTTTATTAGGTAAGAAATGTAAGAATACATAGACAAATTGTTAAACTATTTTTAGGTTTTAATATTCAGTGCTGCAATTAGAACTAGCACCCATGTCTAAATGGTAAAAAGACATGGCCCCAGTGAAGGATGTCCAGAAATCTGCTCTTCTTATTGTTGTAGAAAGGGGGACTTGTCTTGTAGACAATGAAAGCATTACTGTAACAAGGATTCTTGATGATGCCTTTCTGTTAAGTTGCTCTTAGATTGTCATTGTGTAATTTTTGGCCAGATAAATTAAGAATCATATCCATTGCCCAAAAGGCACCAAAAGATTTTCATTTAATTAAAGGGTGACAGTTTTCTGTGTTACCACTGACCTTCTAACAGATTCTGGATCTGCATGGTCTCAACAGCCAATATGAGACAGATGAGATCTCCTGGTACAGGTTTTCGGGACTTGGAAATAGTTGCAACAAACCTAACATACGATACATTATCTCTAGCTCAACTTATTAAAGTAACAACTCATATTAAAAATCGCACATAATGTGAGGTGAATCTAATTACTATATATATTTTACCTAGTTATGTAGGTTGGAAATATAGGATTGTATATTAATCAGATATCAAAGAAGGCAATTATCCAGTAGAATATAGTTAAAATGGATTTATTTTGTACCTAATCAAATAAGTAATGAATCTTTGGAGCTAATCTGGCAATCTGTGTTTATTCTTTTATTATCCAGGGGCTGCCAATTCCTGTTCTATGCAGTGTGGACAACTCCTGGGTCAATGCTCCTGCCATGTAACCTGTGAGAATCTTGGCAACTGCTGTCGAGACTACCGCACATACTGTGTGCGCATTGAGCCTGAGTCTGGCCTGTTGATGGGGGGCAGAGATTTTCTCATTCTAGGTGTGACCTTTGTTGAAAGCTCTGTAGTGAAATGCAGGTATGGTATGTAAAACGTAAAACTAGGAACATCACTAAAATATTATTATGTTCCTCTAAGGTTATCATGACCAAGAGTGCAGTTTCAAACACAAAGAAGTCATCCAACGCAGTTAAGCAGGGAGCACTCACAAAGCATTGCCAAATATCAGTAGGGAATTAGGTTATATAATATAAAATACTGTATACTGTTTTAACAGTAAACGTTCTTCATTACCATTCAGCAATGCATTCACAAGATGCAAATAAAAAAAGCAAATATGTTTCATAAAAGAAGCTTGACAAAATATATGGAGAATTATAGCACATGTAACCTAATTTAGGACATCTATTTCTGATTTCCCTGTATCCCACTAATATGTATATATTTAAAAATATATATAAATTCATTCTTTGTTTTTATCAATGCTGTATTGTTGTTTTATTTATATCTTTTAGATTGATTTATATAGCTACTGATTATTAGTGAGTCTCACAGTTTAATTTTGGGTATTTTTTTGCTTAGCATCAAAGGGTTGTGTTTATTTTCATTTAAGAAAACATGTTTACTACTTCTTGATAAGCCTGTTTTAGAAGTAAATGATAGCCTTGGTATTCAGTAATTCAAAGAAGCATGAGTATAGGTTGTTACTTATGGTGTCTGTTTATGAACCAGAGGTAATAGATCGCTGCTCAGTTCTCCGGCATTCTCGGAGAACACAGTTCTCCTGTGAATGCAGTTTATGAAGCAGTTCTCCGAACGAAGGGAGAACGGTCTCCAAACGCTGGAGAACGGTCTACAAACTCTGAAAAAACGGCTCATTTTACTATAATCTCGTGAGATTACAGTAAAAGATCAGTTTACTAAACAGAGGTAAATTATCTCTGCTTAGTTTTTGGTCCCTCTGATTCTCCAGCTCTGGGCTGGAGAATCTGGAGGGAGAACACAGATCTCCAGAGAAGGGCTGACATGATCTCCTGAGTGTCATAAACTGTGAATGACCAGAGAATAGCTGAGATCTGTTGAATCGCAGCTATTCTCTGTGTCATAAACGGACACCTATATGTAGTCATAGTAAGCAGTGTTCAGGTTTTTTCCATCAGAATTAAGTTCTGTTCTCAAAAAAAATTGAGCAAACTCAATTAGGTGGCTAAAATATAAAGTAGTTAGAGCTCGTGGGGATATAGCAGGCTTTGAAATGCCTGCATAATTTTAAACATACATCACTATGTCCATTATATGCTGGGCCTATCATTTCATTTAAATAGGTGAACGTTTTATGCCTTTGATTAGCTTGTCAGCTTTCAAAAGAATTTTATTTAAAGTGTATGTATAGCCTAATTTTTTTCTGTTTTAGACAGAGTAGGACATTGTTACAACCCCTGAATGTCAATGTTTTTGCTGCCTGTGTCTCCACAAGATGTTTTCTCTTCACCTTCTGTCTCATAGAAGCAATAGGAAGTAGGAGAAAATCTCTCCAAAGTAAAAGATATTTCTCTGTTAGAAAGTTTGGACTGGAACAGGTTCCCTTTGGATAATTTACCATTACATCTTGTTCTGGGGAAAATTTAAAATTTTAGATTTTTGATCAATTTGTTCTTAGGAGAGAGTGGTCACCAGGACAATGGAGAGGTTCAATCTACAAAGGTGGGGGCGGGGCCAGGGGTGGACTGACAACTCATGGGGCCCCTGGGTAATAGGGGATCATGGGGCCCCTGTGCCCTTGCCCAAACTCAAAAAAGCCTGTGAAAAAGATACCAGGGGCATCTCATGGGGCCCCCTGCTGACCCCGGGCCCTTGGGCAGTGCCCGAGTTTCCAAACGGTCAGTCCACCCCTGGGTGGGGCCGCAGGTATTAATAAACATTTTTTGATAGGTCTTCTGCACTATAAAATTCAAGAACATGTTTTGGCTATATATACTGTACATTCTAAGGCAAACCCTTCAAACATATTTAAAATAAAAGTGTTGTAACAAGAGAGGCACTAGAAAGTGGTTCCTATATCCTTGCCAGCTAGAAAAGACCAGGCAGTAGAAAAGGATGCACATGGGTCTATTTTGTTACAAAAGGTTGAGTTTCTTGGAAATAAGCTATGCCAACCTACTGCCCCCCCCCTCCTTCCTGAGTGACCAACAAGGAAAAACTTGCTGGACATGGAGATGTTGGTTTGGTGGAACTTAGTCCTAAAGAGGGAACAGAACTCACATCCATAGTAACAAAATCAAACCAGTTTCAGAGATGAGCACAGAGAGGGGTTTCTAGCACTAATAGGGGTAACAGCAGTTTCTAGCACTAAAAAAGGTCATCACAGCCACTTTGCATTGTGTTCTCCTTTGATTTTAACTTTTCAAATGTTTAAAATTGCAAAAAGTATACATTTCTGATTATTACACGCTGTATGTTTTATCAGGTTTAACAAAGAAATCCATGTGAATGGTTATGTGGATGAAACAGGAAAAGCCCATTGTGTGTCACCTTTATTGTATGAGACTGGACGTATTTTATTTGAAATGTCTGTGGATGGAGGAAAGACATATCCCCACTCTGGCACTTGGCTGTCAGGTAATTACGTGAACTTTTACAGTGTATACCAAAGATATAAGTAATTCCAGTGTAAAGATTACCACCATTTTGTTACCGGTCCATACTACCCTTTACAGAGAACGCTGGTCAAGAATTTATTTATGTTTATGGATAGAGTGGTTATAATCTCTAACAGGTTTCCAGATAATCTGCCAAACAAAATTTCTGCTTACTTTGACTTTTCTTATGAATCCTTGTGGTGTGTCTTGAACAGAAATTGAATAATAAACTCCCCAATAAAAAGTGACATTGGTTACAATTCTTCCCCATTCTATTCTATACTAGCAAAAAGCTCTGGGAGGAGCTTAATTATAAAAACAAGATTAACCACTTCTGGACCACACTATATGATGGCCACAGCGTGGGTCCAGTTCTGGGAGGGCGTGCACCTAATGCTCTCTGTGATCTCTGTGTCCTTTGGCTGATCACATGACATGGTAAAAGGCCAATCACAACGACCTTTTACCACCTGTCCAATCACAATGGCCTTTTATCACGTGTCCAATCACAACTGATCACCATGTAAATACAGTTGCCGGTTATTGGCAGTACTTTCCTCATGTTGTCACAGCGTGAGGACAGTAATGCCTATAACCAGCAACTGTCAAAGGAGACATCTGCACTGATAATCAGCTGCCTATCAGTGCCGCCTCATCACTGCTCATCAGTGCTGCCTATCAGAGCAGCCTCATCAATACCCATCTGTGAAGGAGACAAGTTACCAGTTTGCAAAATTTTATAATAAAAACAAAGAAAACCTTTTTTTTTTTTTTTTTCAAAATTTTTTTTCATTTATAGTGCAAAAAAACCCAGGGGTAATTGTGGCTATTTGTGTGAGAACATGATAAATATTTCAAATGGGTACAGTGTTACATGACTGCGCAATTGCCATTCAAAGTGCAACAGCGCTGAAAGCTGAAAATTGGTCTGGGCAGGAAAGGGCTAAAATTGCCCAGTAGGCAAGTGGTTAACTAAACTTTGAAAATATTTTTCCAATCTTCTTTTTTATTTTTTTAAGAATACATTTTATTGACATTTTGCACACAAGATTACAGAAGACAAAAGACAAAGAATGTTCATACACAGAACTAAACATCCCATTGAGCGATTCTTATAACAAACATGACATCATGTTGAATACAACATCACAAATGCATTACACATCCCATAGTACAGGATGTTAAATATTACATATGGGCCATAGGTCCGATTTTTCCAATCTGTATTGTAGATTATACATTGAGGGAAATTTACTAAAACTGGTGCTCTCAGAATCTGGTGCAGCTGTGCATAGTAACCAATCAGCTTCTAGCTTCAGCTTGTACAATTAGCCCTGGTTCACATATCTGCGCTCCTGCGGGCCGCGTTTTGCGTGGGCAAGAGAGCCCATTCATTTGAATGGACTCCGTGCCCCGGGAAAACGCAGCCCACACGGGAACCTCGGTTCCCAGTACGGTTGCGAATTCCAGTGCGGGTAGCGTGCCATTAGAATTAATGGCACCTGCCCGCGGGTCCACATTCTTCTGTGTGGGTGGTGCAACTGCACGGAATATTGTGCGGATCCGCAGTGGCACCAGCTGCACAGATGTGAACCTAGCCTAAAGGTTTGACAATAAAACCTGTAAATTGATTGGTTACTATGCACAGCTGCACCAGATTCTGTGTGCTCCAGTTTTTGTAAATCCCCCCTATTGTGTCTAATATTGGTGAAATGCTGGTAAAGTTCACATGTTGATTTATTTTTTTTCAAAATAAATGTCCAGTGGGAAGCACTGAATTTCCTCTAGTTACAATTTCAGTCTCATGAATGGCTTGGTATCATTTGACAGCATTTAGAAGTAGTAACAATTATCCCAACAAATGCTTTTCACACTGTCCACCCTTGTACACAAACAGATACACGCACACCCACACCATAGTGCTAGTAAAAATATATCTAAAGAGACATATATATTATTGTGCTGAAAGACCAAAAACATGTCCTTGGAGACACAATAACTACTGTACTGTCAGAAACAGAAAAAAATCAGTAAAGTGCTGACAAAAGAACATATCGGCAGGGGCACAATCAGTACCATTCTGACAGCCAGAAGTGTGTCAGCAGAGACACAATAGGTGACTTGCTGAGAGTCAGAAGCCCTATTTGTATATAGCCCTCACATAGATGGGGGGTCTAGAAGATCAGCCTGCAGATATTTTGCTAACAGCAGATGACGTTCATAAAAATTATTCTGCTGTGGACCTTGAACACAGTTGAAATACTCACTCCGCTTTGCATGCTAGAATAAAGACTATTGTTAAACAATGGAGAAAAATTCCAGACATGGGTTTTAGAATATTGTGACTCAATAATAAATGTGTGAGACTGCTTTGAGGACTCATATTGTTTCCTTTCGTTGCTACAGTGCATCCTGGAAAAGTGTCAGAGTCAGAAAAATGCACTCTGGAGAATGAAACAAAATGGCAGTACTATGGCACTCCTAATTATGATGGCACCTTGACTGTTAAATGGGATCCAAACACATTCAAGGAGAACTCAGTTAACATTGAGGTCTGGGGCTATGGGGAATCAGGTAACATGTGAAAGCAATGCATTATGTTCTTTTAATTTAAATTTTTATTGGTTTATTAATTTCTATGGTGGTCAAATTTGTCCTACCAATCATTAACAGATGTGATTGTTTTCCTCATTATTTAGAGAGCATGGAAACCAAAAGAGGAAATTAGATTTGTTAAATTTTCTTCTTTCCTACAATGGCCAGGAAAACCTTATACAGACTCCTGGACAGCAGCCTGGAAATATCTTTATACCTTGGTACATAAACATGCCAACTATGGGAGTTATACTTTTTACCCCTAATCCAGCACTACCAGAACATAGCGTCTATGAGGTTGGAAGCTTAAGGATTGTGCCAAGTCAACATGCTGATGGGGAGAGGTAATTAAACAAATAAAAATGAATACACTGATATTATTTGAATTGTGCTATTTGTTTTGGCGTTTTGGAAGAGAGGGAAGGGCTCAGAACCCCTGTCAGATTTTAACTGTAGTCTGTGTAACCATTGAAAAGATTTCCCTTCAATTCCTTATATGTCAGAATGTAATGGGAAATCCCTCCAATGTGGACACAGACTGCAACAAAACATTTGTTTCCAGTGGATGACTTAGAAAGCCATATTTAGCTGCTGTTGCTGTCAACGTCTTTGTGGCCCAGTGACAACCATTCCCCTGATTTCTTGCCCTAGTGTAACAATGATTAAAATTTTCACTGTAAAATTATGAACACTAATAAAAACTTGAGAGAACTATTTATACTTGTGAAGTCTGTTCAAAATTAAATTTTTTGCTGGAGATGGGCTTTAACTAATTAATCTCCATGTTTGAACATAATACTATATAAAACACATAGCTTTACTGTAATGACAAAAGTATCCACTTGGTCTGAGAATATATTTATATATTTATTTATGCAGCACCTTGAATAACATGTTAGGTGAACATATCATTTATAACAAGTATTACTTGGTATAATAAGGTGTGCTCTACCATTGCCTAAATTAACACACCCAATTCATTTTGCATTTAAATTTGTAACAAAGAATAACAAGATTATCTTAAAAGAGTAAGCTTATGTTTTGAGGTGTGTTACGGCAAAGTTTTATATGAGCCTCCCAGCGGCTTTACATAGATTAAGGGCTACAGTAAACCACTGGGATAAAGCAGTTATAGTTGCCCTCTTCCTCTGGAAATATGTAGATCAATTTATATGAATACAGTTCTCTGTACAATAACAGGACTTTTTGTACTCACCATAAAATCCATTTCTTCGCATTTATCATAGAACACAGCTCTAATTTAGATCATCACTAACTGGGTATATCACTACCTGAAGGAGTTGGACAGTAGATACACTAAAAAAAAGACAGCCAAGGGGTGGCCCTTGTTCCAGGAACATGGTGCCAGCTATATGGCTAAGACTTGTGCACATAGGTGTGCACATCACTACAGGCATAGAAGACGGACTGCAAGTACATCATTGCCCACATACAGTATATGAGCGCATGCACGTCCTTGCAAGCCTGTCCACTGCCTGCCTATTTAAGACTGAACTCTGCACTATTTCTTTGCTAAATCATCTGCAGTCTTGTTCCTGTGAAAAATTTCCTGATACACAACTTGATCCTGTCACTGACCCAGCTTCTTACAAAACCCAGCTATGGCATTCAGATACATGCTAACTGCACTGCCTACTCCAAGGAGTGCAGGGCCATTCCCTTAGGTGGACTGGTTTAGGGAACAGTGATGAAAGTACAGTGTTCATGTTCAGGTAGAAGGCTAACAACACTTCCGGCAAGAAGGAGAGTCCTGGATGCATGATTACTTTAAGCTTATTTAGCTCTACTCCCGCATGGGCCACTTAATAATGTTTGTCCCCAGAGGTTGCCCTGACCTTGCAAGCCTCCCAACACATCTGATACTCCGGGTTCAGACATATTTCAACAATAGAGAATAATAATGCAAGAGACACAATTCTTTAGTAACACCTCTATATTAGACTTGTTCAAGAGAGTAGGCTACAGGAATAATTTAACATGTTATACAGTCATAAGTAGTAAGCTTCAGCTATTTAATTGCAACAACAGTAGCAAGAGGTTGAAGAAAAGACTTATTGACTTATCAGTTCCCTCTGTGCCAATGGCACCACAATGGAGCATGAGAAGAATTATGTAAAGCTATACTCTGGCTCAAATAGATATAAGCACCTTAAGTTGAATAGCAATGGCCTTAGAAGCAAAAAGGTCCCTTTAACTGGTGATTTTGACATTAGTCCTGTGATGTTTAAAGTTTCTGATATATGGTGGTATCCACTGTCTTCTGCTAGCAATGGTGGGGCCCATAAGCATTAGTGAACACTGGTAATTCAATGAAGTTAGACAGATAAGCCACTGTACTGCTCAAAGCAAAGGTCTCCTAGTAATTGAAGTGTAAAGGTGTCTGCATGCAGTGTCTCTAGAATGATGAGAGAAAGAGGTTGGGCATCCGCCCACTCATCAATCCTTTGGATAGCATGGCCTCCTAGGAACAAGATTTCTAGCCCAGACTCTTGGCTGTTCACAGGAATGTGCAGAGTTACTGCCTGACAGCCTGTCACTTCAGCTAGCAGAGATGTTTGTGTAAAGACCAAACAGTGACAGTCCCGATGCAGAGAAGCTGATGCGATCCCTGTGTGGCGATCTGCGTCCCACAGCAGTAGACCAGCAATCTGAGAGAGAGAGCTGTCCTTTGTTGTAGAATATATCTGCTCTCCCAACATCTTTCTGGTTAGCCTGCTCTCTGGTAGTTGTAGTTTAATCAGCTTCACCGCTGTGCTGAACTGATGTGCAGAGTCCCACAGCAGTAGGCCAGCAATCTGAGAAAGAGAGAGCAGTCCCTTGTTGTAGAAGATACTGTATCTGCTCTCCCAGCATCCTTCTGGTTCGCCAGCTCTCTGGTAGTTGTTCAATCAGCACTCAGAAATACAGTATGTATTGGCTAAAGGACTACATATCCCAGGATCCTCTGCTGTCAGAAGAACTGGATCCACTCTGCTAACAGGAAGTGATATAGCAGTCCCAGTAATGGGTACTAGGGAAAAAAAACTAATTATAGTCTCATCTGTAAATGTCCCTGAATGGCCTTGAATGATATAGCCGACACCTGGTTACACTTACTGTAATGCAGCATCAAATATGAACACTTATATGACAGCAAAGTGAAGAAATCAGTGATTTTTTTACGCTGAGGCAACAAGGTACTGTTTGCTCCTGTGAGGTTCTTTATGATCTCATCCAGTGACACACCAAACAGATGTTACCTTGCTTATAGCTTTTTCCTAAAACCTTCTTAGATGTTTGGTCAACTGACCTAAACATAGGCCTCAGCCACCTGCAGATGATCATAGTTGTAGCTGACAGATTAGATGCCAAGGAGTCCAATGCCATATCACAAACATATTTTAAGCCCTGTACAAGCTGCTCCACCAAGTCCATATAAATTTGTTGAACCCACTTTATTTAGAGTTTATGACACCAATTCTAGATGCATTAACCATTCTGCAACCATGCTCACTGATCTAGCAACTGCCTCCACCTTCCTATCTGTAGGAACTTTAAAGAAAGGATCATTCTTCAACAGGAAGAAGGGTAGCTTTGTTTAAACAGTAGACTGGAGAATCTACCACAAACAGAGACACCCACCTTTAATAAGTTTTTCTCAAATTAATAATGTACCATATAACAAAAATTAAATGGCCTTACGGACAAAGTCATCAAAGTACAAATACAGAAGCGTCTAGGCTTGTGCTTCCTGAAGGCTCTCCACCCGGTAAACAAAGCCCTACAGCATAGTTGCCAGGAAATCCATAGATGAGTGACCTGAGGGTGGGAAAGGTGACTCAAAGCAGAGAATGGCACTGCAGGTGATGGCTTACAGGTGTTGCAAAATTTCTCTCCTGCACTCCTTTGCATCACCCTACCACACTAGGGAAAAAAGATGGATCCAGCAGGTCCATGCCCACCAAACTTAGTACAGGGTTTGCTCCCCACAATAGGGAAACTTAAAGTCCCAGGTGCAGAGGTCCTGGTCTAAGCAGCTGGTGTCCATCCAGTCAGGAGTGACACTACAAAGTAAAAGTAGTGTCACTCCTTTAAATCTAAATAATCTCTGAACACCAGCAGACATTAGAGGAGCTGAGGCAGTATTGCTATGTTCTCTGTGAAGGCTGGGAATAAAGCAGTTAGCAGGAAACATATCATTCTGACTACACACATAGGAGAAGCTGCCATGTGGATTTCAAAATGAAAGTGAGTACTGCAGGACCACCCCTTCCTCTATCCAGTGTTTCCTGTTCCTCTTGGAGCAGAAGCCCTTAATAGAGACTCTTGCTTCTTCATGAGGAAAACACACAGAGCTAAGGCTGGCACTCCCTCTGTGGCCAAAGAGGCATTTCTTGAAGAGTCAGGCACCCCAAAATCACAGAAATCTCCACATTACCCTCCAACAGTGACCCCACTATAGAGAACCACTCAGCCGCACTACTTGCCATACATATGTATCTTAAAGGGGTAGGTGCCCCAAAAGCAGACAGACCCTAACCCCAGCCTCAGCAGGTAACCCTACTCTAAAGGGAACTTATAGCCACCAACAGGTGGGCTGTCTTCTGTTTTGTTTTTTATAGTGAACCTAATGTCCAACTCCTGCAGATGATGATATACCCAGCTAGTGATGATCTAAAGCAGAGCTGTGTTCTCCGACGAACAGATGGCTTACATTTTCATTAAAAAAGAACTGATCACTGATTGTGATGACTAATTTAATGCATTTAGGATTTCTGTTTGGGATGCCCACAGTCAGGATTGATAAAGGTATGTTGAAACTTACATGTTGTACTTTGCATTAAAATAGCTTATCCTAACAATGAAAGTATAATAAATGCCCAGTACATGGGTTTATACTATGAAAACCAGACTTTGTTTGTGGTCACAGGGATGTCCATTCATTATGGAGTGTGGATCATGCCTTGGCATGGCACCTGGGTGAAGACTTCCGCAAGGACTCCACTAGCTGGGCATATAGCAAATGTTTAAATTGGCATGACAGTGACAAGACTCTTCCTGATTTTCTCTTGGAAATCATCGATTGTCCCTGCACTATGGAACAGGCCAGAGCTGATACTGGAAGATTTCATGTACGTTATTTACAATACAAACAAAACATTCCTGTGATCATATTAAAATACTTGGTAAATTATATAAT